GACTGAGTAAGATTTAAAGTGACACTCCCGGAAGCAGGGAGCAGCAGTCAGTGAGATCTGACAGGGAGACAAGCTGACACACCCAGAGAGGTATGGATGCCTGGTACGGAGATGGTTTATCTTCTCCAGGTAGGCTAGCACCACTTACAGTCCCTGAACTCAGGAGCATCAAAAGTTGCATCTGTGCATAGTCCCTGCGTGAGGGCACAGGGAGGAAAGCAACGTATGCCCCCTCCATTCAGGGGCCAGACACAATCTGCCTCATAGTATTGACTCACACTATTCTTTAATCACTTACTTACATTCACATCATCTAAACACGCAGCATATAAACTTTTATTCAAGTGAATCACTCCCCCTGCTGGTCACATGGTGAAAGTGCAGACATTGAATCAGACTGGGTATGACAGCCACAATCCCATAAAGCACATGTGCTTAAAGTTAAGCATAAGCAGTGGTGAGCTGGAGCTGATTCGCACCGGTTCTCAAGAACCGGTTGTTAAATTTAGAAGCCGGTGTAGAAACAGTTATTAAAGGGGCCAGCGGATGGGCAAGCTCTGGTCCGTGGGACCGTCCTGTCCCTGGCCCTTTAAATTGCCACCAGAGCCCCACTGCTGGAGCCCTGGGGTAGGGCTGCGGGGCTCTGGAGGCTATTTAAAAAGTCCGGGGCTCCGGCTCCTTCTACTGCCCCGGCCCTTTAAATAGCCGCGGGAGCCCCGTCGCTTCCCCAGGGCTCCCGCGGCTATTTACAGGGCCGGGGCTGTAGAAGCAGGGGAGCCCCGGGCCCATTAAATAGCCCCGAGAGCCTAGGGGTAGTGGGGGGCTCCAGGGGCTATTTAAAGGGTCCGGGGCTCCAGCTGCCTCTGCCGACCTGGTCCTTTAAATAGCCGCGGGAGCCCCACCGCTTCCCCAGGGCTCTCGCGGCTATTTACAGGACTGGGGCAGTAGAAGCAGGGGAGCCCCGGGCCCTTTAAATAGCCCCTGGAGTCCCGGGCTGCTGCTGCTACCCGGGGGGGGGGGAAGGGGGACGACGATGACGACGACGCTTACCTTACAGGGTAGGCTGGGGCTGGCTCTGACTCCCTCAGCCACGCCCCTTCCGCCCTAGGCCCCGCCCCTTCTGGGGGCCAGAGCTGGCCCCAGCGTACTGGTAAGTCATTGGACTTACTTTCACCCCTGGTCTCGGGAGGGGGTGGTTAGGGGACAAGGAGCAGGGGGCGAGGGGGGTTGATGGGTTGCAGGTTTTGAGGGGGGCAGGACGTGGGTTGGGTTGGAGTCAGATGGGGGGAGATGAGACAGGCAAGTGGGGCTTGTACTCACCGCGCGGTTCCGTACCGGGTCTTTGGCAGCGGGGGTGAAGAACCCGCCAGCGAAATGCCAGCGAAAACCCGGAGCGAGTGAAGACCCCCCTGCTGCCGAAGTGCCGCCGAGGACCCAGTAGGGAACCGGTTATTAGGATTTTGGGAGCTCATCACTGAGCATAAGTACTTTCCACTGACTAGTTTCATGCTTAAAGTTAAGCATGAGCTTAACTGCTTTACTGGATCAGAGTCTAATTGAGGGCAGATTCTACACTAAGCCTGGTTTTGAAACATTTCCGATCAATTCCTGTTTTCCTTTCCTAGGAAATGTTCCCCTTTAAAAATCTGTTCTCTTTCTCTACCTTTCTGCTTCTGGGTAAGCATTGATGCTCTTCCCTCTACAGCACCACTGCAAGTACCTTTTCCTATTTGTTTGTTCTGAAACCTGCATGCTGTGGTTCCGCCACACATCTAACCAGAGCATAGTATCATTCCAGCATGCCTTCCTTCAGGAAACATCTCACATTTCAAGCTTCAGAACCCCTTGTAAGATTTTCCAATTGCTCCCCACCTTGTTTGAAATTGAAAGCTTTACGTTATTCCCAAGTAATCTAGAAGCCTTTTGGGTTTAGCTGAATTTTATTCGTTTGGCAGTTCTGTTTCATATTTTGCCAGTCAGTGTGTAATAAAAATCAGGGAGCAATTTCAGTTTGAAATTTAATTTTCCACATATGATCTCAATTACCAACTCAGACCCAAGCCTCTCTGAGGTCCTTTTGTTCTCTACACGTTGTTTATTATTCTCCGTCATTTTATGTGACCAATAATTTTTAATAAGTTACACATTTTCTCTCTTTTCTCAGGGACATTTACAGAGTAGTTTTGGGTTCACTAAACATCCTTCCTAATCTCCAGGATCTCTGTGTAGCAATGTCCTCTAGATCATTTATACAAATCTGAAGAGATCACATCACATCCATGGTTTCAAACACATCTGGCATTGGCAACCCTATCCTCCTCCTGAAGTCAGGACTTTTCTGAATGCCTGACAGCTGGATTCTACTTGTTGCCCTCTACTAAATTAAATTAAATTAAAGATAAATTAATGGAGATATCCCATCTCCTAAAACTGGAAGGGACCTTGAAAGGTCATCGAGGCCAGCCCCCTGCCTTCACTAGCAGGACCAAGTACTGATTTTGTCCCAGATCCCTAAGTGGCCCCCTCAAGGATTGAACTCACAACCCTGGGTTTAGCAGGCCACTGCTCAAACCACTGAGCTAACCCTCCCTCCTCTACCCAGAGGGAGAAGATTCACTTGGTCTGTGAGATGCCAATTAACATGTAAGACCATGGAGTCCCCATAGAATCAATGCACTGCTTGTGCCAAGACCAGCTCTCAGAATTTTTTAAATCCATTCCAGAGGTTCTCTAGATAACACATACATTTTGCCTCTGTGATTTCTGTTCACACTTTATATGGTCACAGACAGGTAATCTCATTATCGAATTTGCTATATTATCCCAGTTTTGTTACAATATGCACAAATCCCAGTACCATGCCAGGAACACAATACTGATTTATTAATGGACAGTTATTATTTTATCAAGAATATTATATTATTTACACATTATCCAATGTATTCAATAAGATTCAAGTAAAGAGTCAAAACAAGGATTAGACACTTACACAGACCCAGACAATGAGAACATCCAGAGTTACAAACAGCAATAAATAAATAAATAAATTGAAATACCCCAAAGTTTGGCAAGGGACATATACCCTCATGATTCAGGACCTAAGCAAACCTCTAATTAAAGGGGGCCAGGTCATACCATAACTGCCTATTGAAGGGTTGCTTGTGTCTTGCTCTTTAGCAGCTGGTACCAATCATTTTTGAAGACAAGATGGATGGGGCGGGGGGAAGGGATAGCTCAGTGGTTTGAGCATTGGCCTGCTAAACCCAGGGTTGTGAGTTCAATTCTTGAGGGGGCCACTTGGGGACCTGGGGCAAAATCAGTACTTGTTCCTGCTACTGAAGGCAGGGGGCTGGACTCGATGACCTTTCAGGGTCCCTTCCAGTTCTAGGAGACAGGATATCTCCATTAATTATTATTATTATCTGGTATGGTAATGACTATGTTCCATCAAGGTCAGAATTCAGATCATGCCTTGTCTTCACTGCAAAACCCAGGTGTGTTATCCCAGTTATCACACCGAGATAGCTGGCTCGATGTAACATCCTAGAGGAGACAAGGCTTTGTAATTTTTACCTTAATGTAACTAGTCAAGGTAAACCCTAGGCTTGAGGGATGGGGTGGGGGAAGAAAGATGGTTGATCTCAACTAGATATATACCTGAACGTTGTCTCCCCTCTGATTTTACACTGAGAGAGTTATCTCAGTGCAAATAACCCACTTTTCTTGCAGAGAAGACATAATCCGAGGCAGTATTTACACTAGGAAGAAGTTGGTAGGGTTCCCCCACCCTGCGCCCTGAAAGTCTACACTGCAATTTTATAGCCCGGCAGCCGAAGCCCCACAACCCCAAGTCAGCTGACCCAGGGCCATGGGTCTTTTATTGCAGTGTAGACGTACCCCTAGAGTTCGTTACCTCAAGTTAACTGATTGCCAATTAACTCAAAGTAATTAACAGCTTTGTAAAGGCCAGTCTGGATACCTTTGTTCCAGACTACGAACATTTGTACCTTACCCTGCCTAGGCTGATCCCTTAAAATAGCCCCCAAGACAACATACAGTATCTATTTCATCATTTATATGGATTTTCTCCTTCTAACTTCCTAGTTAAATCATTTAAAAATACTCTTTAAAGAAACATTTTTTTATTTAAAAAGAAAAACCCTTAGGAAACTGTAAATGTACAGAAAAAGGATTAAAACTAATTAAAGCACGATGGAAAACCGTAACCCATCACTGAATAGGGGCTGATTTACACTGAAAACGTACATTGGTATAGCTATGTCTCTCAGGATGTAAAAATCCTCTTACTCCTGCTGTAGACAGTGCTAGTCTGCCAGAAGAATTCTTCCATCAACCTAGCTACCACCTCTCGGGCAGGTGAATTAACTACAGCGATAGGAGAACCATGGTAGTGGTTTTCTAGACATACCCTAGAAAGTTCAATGGGCTTGTGTCTCCACTAGCAAAATTAGCATTCATTTCAGCAGCTGCCAGCAACCGTGTAGCCGATAGTGTAGACAGGGCCACAGGTGTTTCTACCACATTATCCTGAAAACAGCCGGCAACCTGAATCCCATTTACACTAATGTTTAAGGTGTTGTTACTGCTTGTGCAGCTGTACCTCTGCTGTCAGTTACTGAAGCATGCTGACCAATGCCCTGATCCTGCAGACACTTCTGAGTCGGGTTATTCCTCCTTACATACAATCAGTAATTATATTCCAGCAAAGACCTTAACTTTCGAAGAAGAACGTACAGGAGCAAGGATGTGAAACAAGCACCTACCTGTCTTCTGTATTCCAAAATAGGATCATACACCTTCCAGCCATTTTCAGGGAAAACCTCTCTGTATTCAAATGCAAAAAGGGGCTGAGAGAAAGAACATTTAGCATTAAATACTCAAAGTTCATTTTTCATGCTATCTGACATCTCAGATAATAACCTGCGACTCTTCTTTTGTTTCTACTACACTACTTTTCTTTAAGCCTTTGTAAAGTAATTGACACTCCCTTTCTACAGTGTAATTAACACACTAATGTACATTCTTCCATGTTCATTATCACACTGATCCATTACCTCCTACATCACAGGGACAAAACGTGTTTATTATTAAAAGAAAATGACTTGTGTGGCAAGAAAGCTCCTCTCACACATTATGTAGAAGTACATCCTTTACCCACCAGCATCTAAAGCAGTGGTTCTCAAACTTTTGTACTGGTGACCCCTTTCACATAGCAAGCCTCTGAATGCGACCTCCCTTATAAATTAAAAACACTTTTTTATATATTTCACACCATTATAAATGCTGGAGGCTAAGCGGGGTTTGAGGTGGAGGCTGACAGCTCATGACCCCCCATATAATAACCTTGCGACCTCCTGAGGGGTCCTGACTCCCAGTTTGAGAATCCCTGATCTAAAACAACAACTGCATGGTCATCACATCCTTGAATGGACCAGCTGTTCTGCAGACGTGAGAGTAGTCAGCCAAATATTGACTGTGAACCTCTGACAGATTTAAAAAGCAACAGAGGGTCCTGTGGCACCTTTAAGACTAACAGAAGTATTGGAGCATAAGCTTTCGTGGGTGAATGCCCACTTCATCAGACCATTCATGGCATTCACCCACGAAAGCTTATGCTCCAATACTTCTGTTAGTCTTAAAGGTGCCACAGGACCCTCTGTTGCTTTTTACAGATTCAGACTAACACGGCTACCCCTCTGATACTTGACAGATTTAATTGTATCCTGAACATTTTGCTCCATTACAAGCATGTGAGCATCAGTGAGAAAACTCCCCGCCCAGGCTTCTCAAATAATTGTACAGTGACACAGAGGAGTTGCATTTCCTTTACACATGAAGAAGAATATACTATACTATATTTCAGTTACAAAATATGGCATGATCCTGCAACTGCTTGCATGTGGACGCACCAATCTGTCTGCACAGAGCCCCACTGAAATAAGTAGGTCCCACTCAAGCGTGGTACAGGTGAGTTCTCTCGCTGATGCTCACATCAGCGGGTCTCCCTGGTGCAGGCACGGAATGCACATGCACACAAAGTTGCAGGATTGGGGAATTTATGAACCATGCATTCTCCCTTTGCTCAAACAATTTCATGTAAAATGTGACAAACTGCTGCTCTCACTCCCATAAAGTCAATGAAAAGACTCCCGTTGACTTTAGTAGAGTTGGATCAGGCTTTGAGGCTGAACAGGCATTTAATAACTATTAATAAATAATCATAATCATTTACACTTACAGAATACTTTCCATTTAACATGGCCGTGCTTTACATATATTAATTAATACAGTCTCAGCACTCCTGGGGAGTAAGCAATTTATTATTATTATTTTAGAAATGAGACAAAAAAGTGACTTGCCCAACATCATCCTGGACATCACTGACAGATACAGGAACAGAATCCAACCTTAGGACTCCTGATCTTGTGCTTTAATCACTAGACCAGACCTCCTGTCTTTTCAACACACCTGGAATTCCAGAAGACGTCCTTCTAAGCAGCGTTTTGTCCACACAGGGTATGTCTGCGCTGCAATTAAAAACCTGCGGCAGGCCTGTGCCAGCTGACTCGGGCTAAGGGGCTGTTGAATTGCACTGTAGATGTTCAGGTTCTAGGACCCTGAGAGATGGGAGGGTCCCAAGCCCAAACGTCTACACGGCAATTAAACACCCTCTTAGCCTGAGCCCCTTTGCCCAAGTCAGCTGGCACAGGGTAGACATACCCAGAAAGGATTTAAGATCAGCATTTCTCCTCTCACAAATAAAATCGCCCCATAAAAATAGTGCATTATCTGAACAAAGCTGTGCACCAACATTCTGCATCTTCCAGTAACAGCAGGAGAAGTACCTACCAAATTATTGGATACTGGAAAAGCGTATTTCATTAAGTTCTCAAATATGGATCGCCTAGTTCGTCCCTCAGGTTTATGAGCAAACCGTAAGTTTCGAATGTCCTAGAAAAGTTAAACAAACCATGACATCAAACTGTTATTACCTTAAATACAACTTGAACGTGCATAGTGATTCCAAGGAATCCAAGGAGAATTGAAATACAGAATTGTAACCCGGGTTTCTACATCTGAACAGTTTCTGTGAACAAGGTCAATGGTCCGGCTAGATCACGAAGACCAATATATTGGT